TCTTTTGAGAACAAATTTATCGTCATTATGATCAAATAATATATTTGCACTGAGACACTGGGTATATAAAATAGAGATCCCCACTAGAAATGTGGGCCTCTTTTATAGCTATTATTTCAAGATATTTTAAAGGAACATAAGGGATGGTTATTCTCTTCTACCCCATCCCTTTTTTGAACAACTTGGAATACTAAAAAAAAAAAAACTGAAAAGTACAAATGGCTTCCATGAACCCTTCCACTAGTTGTTTTCTGTTTTTACTTTCTTCTCCCCTTGAAAATCCCTCTACATCATCTAAAAGCATTCCTCAAAGGTTGGGAAAAACTAAGTCAGACTCTAATTTGGGACTCAGTCTAGAAGCAAGGCTCTAGGGCTTTTCAGATCATCCAACTGGATCCCAAGGATGCCAAAGGCATGTGATGCCCAGCCACCTTTGGCTTCTTCGATTTTGGTCTCATTATCACTTGTGAATAAAATGTCTGAGCTAAAGAATTATTCCCACCCATGTAATGAGGGTTTCTTTCCTCTATAGCATCACAGCTTGGAACAGGCTTAATCCCCACACATAATATCTAAATACAGATCAGAAATGATCAGTATGGTTGCTCCTGGTGTCATTATCTAAATACAATGACAACAAGCATTGCATCGTGGGCATCAGTGAGAAGCAGAATAGCTGAAGGGTTAAGCCTGCATAGGCTAAAGCAAGATGGCCTGGGTTTCAATTCCACCTCCACCTCATACACACACACACACACGAGCTCTGTCACTGTACTTGACCTCTATAGGTTTATTTTTCTCCTCTGTAAAAAGAAGATAGTAATCACCATCTACATCAGCGGGTTGTTGTGAGAACTAAATTTATAAAATCCTTGGGACAGTGACTAAGCACTGAAATAACATGAACTATGAATAATAGTACAAATAGTCAAAATCTGTGTGGGAATGGCCATGTACACGTCTTGTGTATGTATGTACATGTGTATAAAATACCACATATATTTACAAATCTATTCATAGGGAAATATAGAGGTGCACTTACTTCAAGGCAAAATATTTTAGTTCTATTTGGCCTCGTTCACTAAGTCGACATCTCATATTAATTTGTTTTTCAAATGGGAAAGTCAAGAATGTTACTTTTTGAAGGAAGGAAAAGAAAAAATATCTACTTAATTTAAAACAACTAAGCAAACCTTAGAAAAGGCAAGATACCAAAATGTCTAGAAAACCTAGGAGAAGGAGAAAGACTGAAAAGACAAAATGAGAAAGATTTTCAATGTTCATCCTAACAAGAAGAACTCAGTCTGTAGAAACTTGATTTGGAATGGTCTGACCACCCTACAAAAGCCCACGTTTAATTTCTTATAACAATAAATTCAACACTATGCAGCAACACTAACATAGCAGGCGCCAGTGAATTACTGATAACTTTCTTCTCTCATGTTGGGAATACAACCACCCCTGTAAGTGTAGCAGTGAAAAATCGCATAGTAGAGGAAGCTGACGCTTGGGTCATCTAGCAAGGTGAATTCTCTCACGTTTGTCCATCCACTGCTGATGAGACACCACGTGGACCTAGATCTTAACAGCCTGCTCTTTTGTATCTGCTGCTTTCAACAGGATATGATTATGTTCATGCACATGTATATAGGCATCCATGGAAAACATATGGTTTGCTTTCATAAAGTCTTAAAATTGACACTGGGAATAAATTAAACATGATTCTACAATGTTCATGCTTGTATCACCTGGAAATAGAGTCCAGAACATAAAGTTAGTATTTTATGTTTTCTTACAAAACAGAAAAAAAACACATCCCTTCGGTTCTGCCCTTAGTTTGTTGTGTTAGCATCACTTCCTGTACGGTCACAGGAAGAAAAGCCCTACCAGGGACTGGTTCAACTAAAATAGCTCCTTTCACATCTGTGCAGTGAACCCTCAACTATCACATACACTAATTTCAGTTAGAGGCCCTGACTACAGGTCATTTAACAAATCCTTGACTTAAAAACTTTGCTTCAGACACCACCACTGTTCTGCCCTGTAATGCCAAGCCAAGCAGCTGGAACATGAACAAAGTGACGAATAAAGACACCAACACCAAGCAGCATTCTGTCTTCAACAGATCACAGGAGAACACAGTGTGTCACCTCTGACAGATATGGCAGTTGCATAGTGAAGAAAGGCAGAGGAGAGCCTGGCAGGTTGAGGATCCAACATTTTGCAGAAAGACAACCCATCATGAAGCCCCACAGACTTGAGGACACAGCACTACAGCCAGGGTGGCACCCAGGTGTGCACCCCCACCCCCGCCAACCCAGTCCCCTACAGACAGCTAAAAGGTCTACAGGCAAGGTACATGAATGAAACGCGTTTTCAAAGAAAAGAAAATGAAGGCTTGGCTACCCATAATCTTAATAAAAGAAGAATGAAAGAAGATGAAACTGAGGCCAGGTGTGGTGGCTCAAGCCCATAATCCTAGCACTTTGGGTGGACGAAGTGGGTGGATCACAAGGTCGGAAGTTCAAGACCAGCCTGGCCAATATGGTGAAACCCCGTCCCTACTAAAAATAGAAAAATTAGCTGGGCATGGTGGTGTGCGCCTATAGTCTAAGTTACTTGGGAGGCTGAGGCAGAAGAATCGCTTTAACCCAGGAGGCAGGGGTTGCAGTGAGCCAAGATCACATCACTGCACTCCAGCCTGGGTGAAGAGTGAGACTCCGTCTCAAAAACAATAACAAAAAAACCTAAATACATTTTTTATTCTGTCCCAGGAAAGCACTTTCTGTATAGCCTCTCACTTTAATAGCAGAAATCGTTTTGGAGTAATCACAATAGGAATAACAAAAACAATTTTTAATAAAATTATACTTCGTCAACTTAGGGAGCAGAAGTATCCACTACATTACGGCTGTGATATTTCTGAGAATCACTAAGGCCAGTCAACATACATACACATGGTCTAAATTTTTGAAAGCAGAGTTTTAAATTAAAACTGAAAATGAGTTTAAGTGAGCACTTTTATTGCAGTACTTTCAGGACAACCAAATGATAGGCTGTAGGTATATAGCATATCTAACGGTTCTGCATTTTTTTCAATGGTGTCCAGTGAGAAACGTCCCTATACACACAGTCACATAAACCCACGTATCCTTGCAAAATCATACTTTGGAAAACCAGCAAGAACACCATCATCTTGATCTTCCTTGCTGTGGGCCTCAGAGATTTGAGAGTACAACATGGCAGCCTGCATTCTCCAGTCTGGGGGTGGGCTCTGCTCCGAGGCATGAAGCCCAGCAGGGAGGAATCCCTCAGAGAAAAGGCAGTGGAGAAGTGGCTCCATTTCCAAGGCTCCCTTCCTGTTTAGAAGTCCCCTCTATTAGACAACGTATTTCTATTCATCTGTTCTAATCTTTCTTCAGATCAAGCCAGCAGCCCATTAATCATTTCTGTCATCTCCCTACAGAATCCAGGGCAACAGATCTCTGTTTTTCTAAAATCACAGTGCCAGAAACTAAACTCGAGAAAGAGGAAATCCTCTCCTCCTCACAGCGGCTGTCTGGGTGCTGACTGGAAGAAGCCACCAATTGTGTTCACTTTCCTCTTTTGCCCAGAATTGCACAGAACATTCCATGGAAAGTTTTGAAAGGGAATTCGGGTGGGAGGTGGAGCTGCGGAGGTTGAAGAGGAACCCAACGCATGAAGCCACCAGCTGAGGAGAACGTGAGAAAGGGAAGTAGATAAACAAATGCTGAGACAATGACGGATACAGATTAATAAAACCTTTATTAGTGTTTTTATTAAGGCCAAATGTTTTAGCAACTTCAGACAGCAGAAAAAGTATATGAAAGGTCAAGCCTGCTGGCAGCATGGGTCCTCTACACTGAAGCAGTGGAGAACTAAAATAAACTACACCAAACAAAATACTCCCCAATGGCAAAGGAAAAGCCTCTTTTGGAGCTGATGTACTTGATTGCATAAAGATGTTGGGAGTGACCTGAGCCCATTCACATCTTGGGCTAAATATGTTTTTCCCCCATTTTTTAAATGAGGCTATGCCTGTTGGCTAAGAGAGAACATTGAGCATATGTTGGCAGTAGAAAACAGAAGACAGAACCACATAACATTCAGAAACCAGATTCACCAATGATCATGACTGATATTCACACTCTTAGAACACTCATACCTCATATTAGTTTTTAATAGTGATCTTTGCACAAGACAGAAATGAATGGCATGATACTAAATATACAGAGATTCGCAGCTGGGAGCCTTGATTTCTCCTCCCATGGCTGACATTACCAATTTGATCAAGGACAAGTCCCTTTACAAATGAGAGAGGATGCCCTGAGATATAAAGGCATGAGGCCAGCTGTGAAGTCCTTCCAAGATTCTTGGGCTCTCAGTGGTAGACTTAGGTGGTTTAAAGATCTCTTGCAGCGCTTTGATTCTGTGATTTTATGATGCTCATAAGGATGAGCCAATGTCACCAGAGAAAAGGGTACATTTCATATACAGGGGTGGTTCCTCTTTGTGGTACTGAATGAAATTCTAATGTGTAATGATCAGTATGTCCCAACTGGCTTGAAATGAATAAACATCTTTCATACCAAAGTTCAGGAATAATTTACTTAAAATGTAAATTGAACAATTCAGTTATTATTCAGTCACGTGATTCTTCAGATGCAATTTTTCAAAAATTACGGGCAGTCACTGGCACAGAAAGAAAAAAAATAAACACAATGCAGGGCTATACAAATGTAGCTATAGTAACAACTGGAGAAACATTTAAACATGTATACAACAGTGGTGCTCTTAAATGTACCAAGAGACCGTATATGACTAAGATTTGGGTAATTTAAGGGGTTTCCCAGGGTAAATTTGACCTAAGTACTGTCTTAGACAACCCTCACATAATCACCCATGCTGTAATATATTTCGGAAAGATGAATAGATGTAAATAAGCAGCAAATAATTTGAACATAAGAAAGGAAGCTTACCGCGAATGCTATCGTACTTCTTAACGTAGATTCCCACTGGAAGCAGCTTTTAAGGAATTGCATTGTATTCCATATTGCCATAGTGATTCTTTTCACACGGTCCACATCTCTTGATAAGATCTGATTTTAAAAAATGACAAACAGGAAACGAGATTTAAATACTACAAATATTCCATCTAGGTCAGGTACCCTGATCATTTAAAGTATATTCTATATAGATCCCAATTTTAAAAAAATGATAATAATAGAAAGGAGAAGGCCTGACACATCTAAAAGTCTTTTTAAAATATGATCATTCACAGAGGAAAAGAGAATCAAATGCATTTTAGCGCTCATCTGAAAAAGAACAGCCTGTTTCAACAGTGTTCAGAACAAAAATGGAAATGGTGAAACTACAGAAGCCAGGTATTTAATGCTGGTGAATTTGTGTGAGAAAGACACACACAGAGGCAGAGAGAGAACTAGAAAGAGAAAGACAGAGAGAGAGAGAAAGAGAGATACAGACACAGAATGAATGTCTATGTTGTTTAGTTTGGAAGCAAATGAATAGATTTACAATAAAAACATACAAGTATTATAGCTTATCTAGTCCAGAGGTCTACAGAAAAGTAGAGCTCTGGGAAGGGGTTGAAGTTCACCTTGGGCAAGTTACTTAATTTCTCTCTTATAAAATAGGGTTGATATTAGTGCTAATCTTACAAGTTGTTGAGAGGATGAAAAAGCTTAGAAAAGTGCCTGTCACAGAGTAAATGCTTTCAAGTATTTGTATCCTAAGGAAATGTTTCAAGTTTATCAAAATTTGGGGGTCTAAGTAGCAAGAGGCACGTGGGGAGGGTCCTAGCATACCCCAGGATTTCAGCCCCAAGTTCCCCGGTGCTCTCAGAGCCCAAAGTCATCCCACATGGAGGTCTTGTTTTGCAAAGGAAATGTCTCTCTCCCAGTTGTAGGCAGATTCATTTCAATGTGCTTGCAAAGCAGCTACCCCACCCACCTCAACCCAGGTTTTAGCTTTCAAGTAAACAGAGTGAAAGGCAATAATAATAATAAAATAAGACATTTACTCAGATTACACAAAATAAATATTACACTCAATGTTATGGCAGACCAAAATGAAATATTTGGAGGCTTCCCCTCAGAAGACGTTTAAAGCCTTTCCCAAGTATGCCCAGAAGTTCATGGGAAACAAAAGGATGATAAGATGTCTTTATATTTAACTGCTTTATGTAATCCACAGCTGCTCACCCCAAAGGAAGTGGTGGAAGTAATAAACTCTTGAAAAAGGGGACACTTTGTTCTTTGTTATACAATTGAAGAGGGATGATAGGTACAAAGTGAAATCCTGAGCTGTGGAGAGTACAACAGGGAGGAACTCAAAAAAAAAAATGAAAAGGACAAAAAAAAAAAAAAAAAAAAAAAGTGAAACTTCCTACCGGGCCCTGAACTTCACCTTTTGTTGAACTAAATGAGAGAGGAATTAAGGGCAATAGGCAGAGGGAGAGAACTTGCATTCAGCATGGGGTGAAATGCCAACACATCCCAAATTTAGACCACACCGAAGTGGTAGGAGCAATCATGAGCGAAGCCCAGGCTAGAAGTCTCTGAAGATCTGCTGGGTTAATTCTGTTACTGACTCCACACACTGCGCCTCCCTGAAACTTCTCTAAAGGGCAGAGGACGAAATGGCTATGATTAAAGGACGGGTATGCAGAACAAGACATTGACAGTCTTGATGCTAGGAATTTTTGTTTATACAATGAATCAGGAGAATAATGGGGTCTGAGAACTTCTGTTTAATCCAAGAATTATGTTCTAAGTCTTGTCCTTCTTATGGGAGCTGACCGACCTCCTTATTTTAGGAGAAAAGGGGACAAGGAGAAAGAAGTAGAGAGACGGGACAAGAGGGAGAAAGGAGGAATAAGAGGGAGGAAAAGATTCAAGGAAGAAATTATAGGCAAGTGTTAATACTTCAGGTGCTGAGTGTACCAATTAACAAGCCACCTACTGTACCGACCCACCTTTTTGGACAGCTTGCGGCTGTCTTCAACAAAGCGCTTTTCCCTGGGAGTAAACGTCCTAATACTTGCTTTGACCTAGAAAGACATCATTGTTTAAAAACGGCAGCATTTATAGGGACTTCATCCATCTAGTTTTCTTAATGACTGGGAAAATCATGCAAACCAATAGCTTCTGACTCTGACCTTAGCAGGGAGCAAAGAAATGGTGGACACTCCTGTGCCCTGTATATGTTTCTGGGGGTCTCATTTGATGAAAGTCCCTGGCATGGGTCAGATTGAGTCTAGAATGGTACTGTCTCTACTTGGCTCATCTCTGGGAGTATTTTAAACCACTGCAGAGATTGGTGTTCATGAATTTTTCAAACTAACGTCTGTAACAGATAAAACTTCCTTCTGAAATCCTTTTAAGTTAAGCTTCTACCAAAAATGTCTGCAGGTGAATAACCATTTCCAGTTTATGAAAACACACTTTTCACAGAGAATCTTATTTCCTTTCAATGACCTGGAAAAATAAGTCGATGAGCCATTTTAACCCTGTTTCACAGGCAATAAACTGAAGCTCAGAGGGACTTATGCACTTGTTCAAACCAGCAGACTGAGTAAGACCCCAAAGAATCAGATTCAAGTCCTTCTCCACATCACATGAACTGTAAAATCCCTTAACCGAAATATTTTCTCTTCAAGTCTGTATTCCACTTGTCCCTTAAACTCAGGTTTTACCAGTATACATACTCTATATACAAACGTTTTCCAGAAGAAAGGAGGAGATGAGGGTGACCTGCTTATAAAATGCACATACGATTTCCTTGACGGGAAAGGGAAGGAAATGGGAAGCAGCAGCAACACATCCTTATACTGGAGACTGTGCCCAGAGTTCTAGTATTATTGAGAATGTGAGAAATATATATATATATCTTTAATTTACATAATATAGCATTTTATATACTATATGTTATACAATTATATATTACATAGGTTATATTATATACATTTTATATAAAATTTTATAATAAAGATTATATAAAAATAATTTTTCTGTTTTTTTAATTTTTTCCCTGACAATTTAGATTTACTGAGAATTAAACAACATCAATTCTGCTGATTCAACAGGGTTAATACCACTTGAGAGCTGGGATGTCCAGCACATTTTATGACTCAGCTTTAAAACACTATTCTTTCCTCTCTCTAGCTGCAAAAATTCTGAAACATCTTACATTGATTTGAGCCTGCAAAAGCTGGTCACCTTCTATTTTAGGTATGGGAAAGCCGGGAAGTATGACCCAGTTAGACTTACCGGATTATATATAAGATCCATCTCTAAGTAAATAACTCCTTTAAAAGCTTGTTCTAAATCTTTATTCTTCAGTACATAACAATTTGGTTGTCCATCTCTAATCTGTCACAAACAAAAATTAAAAAACACATTGGTGCAAAGTTTCTATGTGGTTTAAAGTAAATAACCAAAACTAATTTTGGCAAAATTGGGGATGCAGAATGATCACAGATGAAGCAAACATTAAACAAATATTAATTCTATGATAAATCACCTTTTACTTTTAGAATGCTGTTATAACACGCTCTAGACAGGAAGATAAAGTGACAATCACCAGGCTGAAACTGATGTGTGGGTGAAAAACATTGGTGCAAATCATAAGTTACATATTTCCATTTACTCAAAAATGATGAATATTCTACAAAATTCCTGGCCAATACTCTTCAAGACTGTAAAGGTCATGGGAAAAAGGAAAGACTAGGAAACTGTCATAGATTAGAAGAGACTAAGGAGATAAGATGACTAAATGCCATGTGGCATTCTGGATTGGGTCCTTAAGCAGAAAAAAGATATTGGTGCAAAAACTGGTGAAATCCAAATAAGGATCAGAGTGTAACTGCAATGTAACAATGTTAGTTATTTTCAGTTTTAACAAATGTATTATGGTAATATATGACGTCAACATTAGAATAAACTGGATAACGTATGTATGGGGAACCCTGTATTCTCTTTGAGCTTCTCTGTAAATCTAAAATTATTCCCCCCAAAAGGTTATTTTTAACAGAAATGAATAAAGGAGCTGGTTTTAATAGTGTTTTACTAGCCAGGAAACAATGCAAATTAAGTAAATAAATCAGTTTAAAGTTGAGGTCAAAATCCAAAAACACTCAAAATGTACAATGCCAATAAATCTTCAAAACAAACAAGTTTCTCTGCTGTCCTCTCTTGGCTGGCATGTCGCATCAGTTCCATACACTAGTCTACCTCTGGACCCTACATATAAGTTATCTAAGTAAAACATCTTCAGTATCATTTTGGAAACTAATTGGCTCCCATGAAAGACAAGTTAATTAGCTTGATTTAATCATTCTCTTTTCAGATCTGATAGCAGTCATGATTTTACATAGTAGTAGTATATGTAACTGATTAAACTTCAGGCTTCTAAGAAGCATACCTGTTAACTCTAAAAGGGCCTCAGCAAAACTCAAGTTAATCAAAAGCTCTATTTGAGATTGTAATGATCAAAAATGTAAATAGCATAGGAAATCTAACAGCATGAAATTTGAGCCATATTTTAAATGACTATTGCTGTCCCTACAAGCATTCACACAAGTGTTCTTATAAACAGTGGTGGAAATGAGTTGAATAAGTCATGGGGGAAACAGAGCAATTCCACTTTACAAGGGAGAGGTCATCTTCCTTCCCAAAGTCACCCCACCTCTTTCTGATTGAATAGGTTTGATACAGAAGGATGGTCTTCCTGGCCAGCAGCTAAGAGGAAGGGGGTGCCCCATAAAGACCTGGTTTCCTTCCTAAACGGTGTCCAAACAGGATTCTGAGCTTCCGCTTTGATACACAGTCTCACTTAATAAATTGTGGATGTTAAAGTTGAAAGAAATAAATACAAAAACAGCCTGACAATTTGCCAAGCTGACTTGGGTCCAGTTTAGCTTTGCTTCAACCCACAGTCATTGTACTGTTATCTTAAAATTTCCATGATTTCTTAAGGGCTGGCGAAGGATAACAGAAGAACAAGAGGTATCAGAATAAAGAGAAATATTTTATAGCAAAGGGATTTTTTTTTTTAATTTGGTAAATGACCATTTCCTGTTTCCTAACGTCCCTCACATTGTGTCAGCAAAATCAGAACCCACCTAAGGACATGAAAGCAGGCATCAAAGCCTGAGATAGAATTAAACCTATGCATATTTGGTACTTAACTATCTTAAAAAATAGAATATAAGTTTAAAAACTGCAAAAAGTTTAAAAATTGCTGAAAAAACTGAAGTCCCTTTGAACTTCCACCAACACCAAATTCCGTTCCCTAAACATAAATTAGATAGGAATTTGGCATGCATCCTAAGTTTCATTGAGATTTTGTATTCATAAAAATAGCCTTGACAGACAAATGTTTTTAAAATTATTTGCCTAAGTGACAAATTGTATGTATTTCGCAATTTTGTTTTGTATCTATCAACATGACTTGGTAATTTGTTTATATTAGTATCTAGGTCTGGTTCATTTTTTATACTGTTATATAATCTTTAAAAAGTGAATAAACTATAATTTATTAATTCTCCTATTGATGAACATTTAGTTGCTTCCACTTTTGTAGTTTGTCTGCTACAAGGAATATCTTTAGAGAAAAGATAAAAGGTAAAGGAAAGAAGAAACATGCTAGTTTGTATTTGGAATATGTTTGGGTTAAGAACAGGTGAACACATTTGAATAGTGTTATAATTAACATTGAGATAGTAACAGAAGAGACTACTTTTAAAAATATTTTCATTTTCCTCTCCGATTATATAACTGAACTTCTAAAACAAAAATATCAAATAAAAAGTTCTGTATCCTCCAACTTGCCTACATGAGAGCATTTATATAATAGGAGATGAAAACCGAAGACACACACACACACACACACACACACACTCCATGTCTAAACTAAATTTATTATTTATATTTAAAAGTCTGAAAATTATTTCTACATTTATAACTTTAAAGCTTCCATTAAATAATTAAACAGACATAATTAAAACACAGTCAAAAGAAAATTTAGAGGAGAGAATCTATATATACTTTTCATTAATTTTGAGCTCTCTGTCAGCAAAGGCAAAAAGGAACAATACAGCTTTCAATTTATGACAAAAAGACAACGCAATTCATTTGGAGAGATTTCCTGAGCTGACATTTGGGAGGACTTCACTCAAAAACGAGTCTTGGATAAAATAATGATGTCTTCAACTTCAGTTTTCCAGGATAAACTCTTCAAATTGACTTACTACACATTTTTGTATACTTGCCTTTTGATGGCCAAATAATGCACAATATTAGGTAATAAGTTGAAGAAACCATCTACGCAGGACAGTAATAACAGATTTAACTCGAGAATGCAAACACCCCTAATCAGGAAAATTGACATTTTCATGACCCTTATATTATTTTCAGAAATATATCACAAAGCTTTTATAGAGCATGCTAACAGTTGATTCCTGGTTCAATTAGTCAGTAAACAGAAGTACAAGAATTCTGTTTCTAAGTAATAATTCAGGATTTTGGAGCCAGAGCCAAGTTACTGAAGATAGTCTTGCTTAAAATGTTTAATTTGCCCCACACTCATGCTTAAGCTATTTAACTTTTTTTACACATAAAAGAATATTAAATATATCTACCAAGCTGTAAGCACAGTAAATATAATCAATTTTTAGAAGTCAGTTGATGAAACTAATTTTTGAGTCAAATAAATGGCACACTCAATATATTAGAAAACTAAACTATTTTATAATCAGCATATAACAGAGGTGAGCATGTGAGAACCAAGAAAAAAGTTTCTCATCTTGAACTCTTTTAAGAAAACAATAATTATTATGCTTTCCTACTATAAAGATCTTTGATGCAATGAGTTGCCAACTTATTCAATAGCAAGGTTAATCAGAATCAATATGAAGGAATAAAACCATCAATGACTTTAGAGAGGAAAGATACACACTTAAGATCAAAATCCAAACTAAAGAGTCATATTGATTCCCCATTGTTTGACCTTCCAGTTAGAAACTGAGGTTGTTGCGTATAAATGGCATTGTTCTTTCAGCCATTATTCACTCTGCATAACAGGGAAAATAACGTGACAACACCATGACATATTAGTTGGTACCAGCTGATGCACATGGAAAGTAGCTCTCCAATAAAATGTGACGAGGACAGACATGTGGCTGGGCAAGAGGAAAATCCATACACTTTACTTGGTATCCATTCACATTCTTGTCGCCACTTGGAATCAGGCCTTGTTCCCATGATGTGAGTTACACAAACAGCATGAGAAAGACCTACTAGGTCACGGTTTGCCTGCACAGAAGCTCAGCTACCAGCTAGTAGAGGCAACACGGAATTCATCACCCTAGACCTCTTCCATTTCTACTTCACTTCTTCCTTCTTGAGACAATCCATTCATCCACTGCCTGAAACTCAAACCAGCTATCCCTAAAATATGAGCTGCTCCTTCAAAATCAATACACATTAATTCCAAAAATCGTGTAAAATTTACAAGAAGTGTTGAATATAAAAAACATAATGTTAGTATAACTTTTTTTGTTTTTGAGACGGAATCTCACTCTGTCACCCAGGCTGGAGTGCAGTGGCGCAATCTTGGTTTACTGCAACCTCTGCCTCCCGGGTTCAAGCGATTCCGCTGCCTCAGCCTCCCAAGTAGCTGGGACTACAGGCACATGCCATCACACCTGGCTAATGTTTTGTATTTTTAGTAGGAAACAGGGTTTCACCATGTTAGCCAGGATGGTCTCGATCTCCTGACCTCATGATCCACCCGCCTCAGCCTCCAAAGTGCTGGGATTACAGGCGTGAGCCACTGCACCCAGTCACAATGTCAATATAACATTTTTAAACAAACACTCATATGAAGTTTTTAAGGCATATTCATATTTGATCATTTCAATTGTTAAAACAATGCAGATGAAGGCAATGCCAGCTTACACTATAAGTGCTCACTGCGTGCCAGGGAATGTTGTGCCCATCTCACACTTAACTCTGATCTTCACCATACACCTCCAATACAAGTAGAAGGATACATATCTTCACTCCAGCAACAAAGAAATGCAGACAGATAGGTTAAGTAACTTGTCAAAAATCACACAGCTAGTTTAAGGGAGGAGTCAGGATGTCAACCTAGGTAGTCTGGCTATAGCAGCATTTGCATTCTTGAACATCATGATCACAGTTGAATAAATCATGAGCCATTCATATGTGTTCAGCTATCATGTTTTTTTACTCTTTTTTTTTTTTTTTTTTTAGGTGGAGTTTTGCTCTATTGCCTAGGCTGGAATGCCATGGTGCAATCTTGGCTCACTGCGACCTCCGCCTTCCGAGTTCAAGTGATTCTCTTGCCT